TATATATATATATATATATATATATATATATATATATATAGAGAGAGAGAGAGAGAGAGAGAGGTAGGTTCAGGGGGAACCCCAAAAAAGTGAAGAATTGAGGAACACTTGATAACCATTCATCTGCGCAGTATGCACATATACATACAAGTAATTGAAGTAGTTTCTTCTTTCTTGATTTTTATGCACATGTGCAATACTGAATAAATTGCTTACAAATTATTAGTACATACATGCGCATACCGTTCAGATTAACGGTTACCAGGGTGTTCCTCAGTTTCTTTTTTGCGGTTTTCCACTCAACCTGACCACATATATAGTATACAGATTTTCGGCCACAAGTCACGCCTTGAAAACGTTGTGGCCTCACCGTGGCTTTTAAGCTTTGAGGCTCACACCTCCGTACCATGCCTCAAGCCATTTAAGACCTTGTACGCAAACCCGACCTCTACCCCAAAGAGTAAAGCAGTTGTTCTCGTGAACACCCAAGTCTTGTGCAAGAGTGCGAGCAACAGGTAGAAGAAATAAAGATAGTTACTCATCAAACTTCATAAAGATTTTTAAAACCCTAAATAAGAATCATTTAAGATTTTCTTGGTCACATTTTGCCATACTATCAATTATTAATTAAAGTGTGTTTGGTTTGCAGATGGGATTTAAAAAAAGGCGAGTGTCTCTGAAAGGTTTTAGGGTTTTAATTTTACATGGGTAGTTTAGTAATTTACCAGTCTTGTCATATCTTCTTAATTTTTATTCCACCTATTTTTGTGGGACAAAAGAAATGCATTTCTGTCCCACTCAAGTCATGTCTTGGCCCAATTCTAATATCACATCAAATATGAGACAAGAAGTTTTCGTCCTATCCTGTATACCAATCGCACCCTTACTGTTAAATGGCTATTGCAAGAAAATACCTGGATTAGCTGACCCTCCTCGTCGATTTGAATTGATGTCATCGTCTCGGCTTCAGAATCTGTTGCACCATAAACACCGCTACGTTTCGTTATGGAGTGACCTTTCCACATACCAAGATGAGGAGTGATCCGGCTTGTATTCTCCTAAAACGAAACAATAAATATAATATATAATTAGTTCTTGCTAAAAAAAGGTACTACTCCATTCGTCCAAAAAATAGTGTCCACGTTTCTATTTTAGTTTGTCTCAGAATAAGTGTCCACTTTCAAAAGGAAGTGTCTACTTCCAATTTTAACCTTTGGTATGAGACAAAAAAAATTATTATTAACTATTAAGGATAAAATTGTTATTTAGTTGATTAAAAAAGTGTAATAATTACACATTTCTAAAACTGTGCCTTTTCATCATGGACATTTATTTCGGGACAAAAGTAGTATTACCTCATATTTAAAGAGGATGAAACTATCCATAATAATATTTTAGTTTGTCGTAAAGTAAGTGTCAACTTTCAAAAGTAAGAGCCTACTTTCCAATTCTATCCTTAAGTATGAGACGAAGAAATTCATTACTCCCTCTATTATTAAGGGTAGAATTGTCATTTAGTTAGTTAAAAAGTGTAATAATTACACATTTATAAAATTTGTATGCCTTTTTTCATTGTGACATCTATTTTGCGACAGAAGTAGTATTACCTGATATTTAACAAGGATCAAACTACCCACAATCATATTTTACTTTGTCAAAAAATAAGTATCCACTTTCAAAAGTAAGTGCCTATTTTCCAATTGTATCCTTAGTTTTAGGATAGAAAAATTCATTACTCCATCTAGTATCAAGGGTAGAATTGTCATTTAGTTAGTTAAAAAAAGGGTAATAATTACTTATTTACAAACTGTGTGCCTTTTTTTCACTGTGGACATTTATTTTGGGACAAAAGGGGCTACTCAACATTTGAAAAGGATGAAACTACGAAAAATACCTTAGATTCATCAAGGAAAGGAGGTGTAACGACTCCAACGCCTTTTTGTTCAAGAAAGACGAGAAGCATTTCAACAATACCTTTTGGATCCATTATATGGAATGCTCGTGCTCGCAAATCTTTGTCTAATGAATAAAGACAACTCTCACATACGATTGAAGGCCATTTAGAAGGAAGCTTTAGGTTTCTGCAAGGTAACGGAAAAACTAAAATATAAAACTTATAATGAGCAAATATATGCAATATTATGGATATGTTCGGCAACCTAGCTAATAAGCCAGCTGTTGATCAATAAGTTGGCGGCTATCTGATAAACTAGTCACGTTTGGTAAAAACTAGTTGATAAGCTATAGAGTAAATTACGTTTTTCGTTCCCGTGGTTTGTTAATAATTTCAATTTTCATTCTTGTGGTTTAGAAATTGCGATTTTCGTGCTTATAGTTTGCAATTTATTGCTATTTTAATCCCTGGGCTGATTCCTACCTTTAAGTATAAGGGATCAAAACAGTAAAGAACTGTAAGTCACAGAGACCGAAACAACAATAAATTGTAAATCATAAGAACGAAAATAGCAATGAATTATAAACCATAGGGACGAAAACTGCAATTTCTAAATCACAAGGACGAAAAGCACAATTTTTAACAAACCACAGGGACGAAAACTGTAATTTACTCTACGCTATATGACAATGTGGTGCTTTCCAAGAGAAATGAACATAGATTTTCGAAGTAAGGGCCATTTACCACACACACTTAAAGGGCAAGTGCTTAACGGCAAGAATCAACACCCTCACTTACCTTATTGGTAACATTCTCAGCCATCAAAATTGATTGTTGGTAATCATCTTTTACCCGGTAAGCGCTTAACAAGTAAGAGCCTTATCACTCAATTATTGGGTAAGATTCTCGGTCCGTGCTATGCCTCTTATCAGGTAAGATTCTCAGTCATTGTCATGCTCACTCGATAAGGTAAGTGATATTTAGTAAGCGCCTACCAAGTAAGCGTTTACATAAAGGGCCCATAACACAATATTAGTCTAGTTTTTCTATGTAGGCTGATCAAGTTGCTTAATAATGTTTAAGCAAGGATGAGACTTCAAGTTTGAAAGATGAGACTTATTCTCGCATAAACTAAAATAGAAACATGAACACTTGTATTGGAATGGACGGAATATACAGATTGTGCTCCATAACACAATACTTCCCCTCTTCGGAAAATAATAATGATGATAAGAATACTAACGCAGAGATTGGAAGACTCACTTGGGAGATTCTTCTCCGATATCGTCTTCACCTAACACTCCTTGTCTTAATACCGTTTCTAACATGCCGGCTGTCTGATACCTTAGTGCAAATGCTTTCTCTTGCGGAAAGAATCCGATCTGTAGACTAATTACATTGGATATTTAGCAGGATAGGATATCAAAATGCTAATCATTTCAATGTAAGTATTATTTCACAAGGAACTACACACAAGAAACCAAAGGGTCATTGGTCCAACGGTACCTGGGTTACTGGCAGGGGTATAAATGATTCGAGCTTTTAACTAGCTACTCGAGCTCGAATCGATCTTGAACACAAAATAGAACTCGTTTAACTTAACGAGCCGAGTTTTATAACACTAATATTCAACTCGGCTCGTTCGAAAACTCGATTTAATTTTTCGAGTCGAGCCGAGCCGAGACATTCGAGTATACCCTTGTTCGAGCCAAACCTACTCGTATATTTATTAAGCATACAATAAAAATATAAAAATTATCGAGCTCAAGCCGATAAACGAGTTAATTGATTGCGAGTTCGAACCCATAAACGAGCATCGAGCTCAATAACTCAAAAAATATTCGAGCTCGAGCCTACATTGAAAAGTTAATCGAGCTCGAGCTTGGTATTAATTTTTTGATCCCGACTCGATTAACCTACTACTCGACTCGGCTCGTTTTACATCCCTAGTTACTGGTAGAGCCCAGCCTCCCAAGAGGTCAAGGGTTCAAACGTTGAGGAGTGTGTGTGAGTATTTGCCATGTATATAGAGGGAGGTTCAGGGAAAACCCCCAAAAAAATGAAAAACTGAGGAACACTCTGGTAACCATTCATCTGGACGGTACGCACATGTGCAAACAATTAAATTTGTTTTTTGGTAATTATGCACATGTGCATACCGGACAAATTGTTTATAAATTACTTGTATGCACATGTGTATATTGTCCAGATGAACGGTTATCAAAGTATTCTCAGTTTTCCACTTATTTGCGATTTTCTCCTGAACCTGACCCTATATCTATGTGCAGGCTTTGTTAGGAACCTAAAATTAGGGACCCGGGAACTGCTAACATTGCATGGCATATTAATCAGGAATATGGACGTGTTATTCATCATGAATGTGTGGTTCTTGGTGAATAACACGTCCATATTGATCATGGACGTGTGATTCATGATGAAATCCTAAAGAGGGACGCATGGGTCGCTGAGGGCGGTTCTCGGATTCCTAATCAATTTTGGGTTCCTAACGGAACTTTCCTCTCTCTCTCTCTCTATGTATATATATATGTATATTATACTTCAACAATAATACGCACAAGAAAAACCCAAAAGTCCACCTGTGAAAAAACCTCACCTGTTGATATTTTTCTGCAGTAAACATATTGGTTTCTTTGATTTTGTACTCTGCCCATTCCGCTTCATAATCAGTTTCAGAAGCTGAATAGCTCGATGAACATTGTTTGATGTACAACCTAAAACGACATCAAACGTATAGCAAACCATGCTCAATAGGGTAAGAAATAGCACACAAATTGCTGGCAAACAAAGGTACCAAATATGAACTCCTCTCCCTATTTGGGAATGTGGTTTAAATCTATTCTCCATTTTCCTGTTGCTTAAACATGTGCGGGAAAGACCATTAACAAATATCACCACATACTGAACTTTGTATGGTATATCTCCGTAACATATGATATGTGGAACCCATTCCAAAAGACCACTTGAGGAGAGAAGGAAGGTTCCGACATATATAGAAGAGAAATAGAATAAGTCTAGCCTATGTGGGCCTCCAACACTCCCCCTCCAACGGAGGCTAGACCAGGGGCGGACCTATTAAGCTCCAAGTGGGGTCCAGTGCACCCGCTCAACTTATTTTCGTAAGTAGAATTTTTTTTAGGATATGAAAGGTGCATCCACTAAACTTTTAAGGGTACTCGAGGATATTAGAAATACAAAGAACATCAACAAAAAAAACCAAAAAAAGTCGTTCGAAATCAACCAGAAAACCGAAAAGTTCCTCGAAATCGACAAAAAACCGAAAAAGTCCTTGAAATCAACCAAAAAACTTAAAAAATCCCTTGAAACAGTGGAATTCAGCTAAATACAGGTTGGAAGACTTTGTTGCCCTTAATAAAGGTGCACTCGCTCATCGAAAACCCTAGGTCCACCACTAGGCTAGACGGGCCCAGATTATCAATAGGGGCTAGAACTGTAAAATATATACACAAAACCTTTTTGACTCATCTGTCTTAGAAGCGCAAGAAATTGACCAAACTAGCCATTTTGAACGAACATCTTTCGCTTTTTAGCCAACTTTATAAAGTTTGAACCAAAATAGCCAAGATTTCGCAAGTGTCCATTTCACAACTTTCTATATGTACTTTTTATGAATAAATATGATTCCTGTGAGCCATTTCGCAAGCCACTAAGAAGATTTGCAAGCCAAAAGGACATTGCATAAGCCACTAAGGAGATTGACACTTGCAAAATATTGGCCATTTTGGTCAAATAAAAAAAGAGTTGGCTAAAAAACGAAGAATGTTTGTCCAAACTGGCTAGTTTGGTCAATTTCACACAAATAGTGGTAGACTCTCGCTATGATAACATGTTAGAATATGCGAGGTCCCAGTCTTGAGTAGAGAAGGAACGTTCCAACACACACATATGTGTGTGTGTGTGTGTGTATATATATATATATATATATATTCCGGGGAAAACCGCCAAAAAAATGAAAAACCGAGGAACACCCGAGTAACCGACTTACGGTTCATTCGGACGGTGTGCATATGTATATACACGTAATTTATAACCAATTTGTCCGATGTGCACGTGTACATAACATGCACACGAGCAAAAATTACTTGTATGTATATGAGCATACTCTCTAGATCTTTTTGGGTTTCCCCCCTCTCCCTCTATACACTATATATAAGAAAAATGTTCCCAAGTTTAAACTCAGGTCAGCAAAAACTCGACACAGAAGCATCAAAATGTACACAAATGTATTCATGTAACTACTTGAATAAACCAAATAAATTAAGAAAAAATAAGCTTACGTTTGAATCAAACTGATCAATTCATCTTCACCATAAGATCCCGCAGATAACCTGGTATCCACCTTATGCATCAACTTCCCCTTTGAATCAAATTGCTGATCCAATCATCAAATAAACATTCAATTAACAACAAAACAACTTCAAGTCAGAAGAATTCATACGAGTTACGATACCGACGTGAAAAGAACCAGTCCAGTTCCCCAAATTGAGTCTGATGAATCGCTTTAGGGCATCGACACTCATCGATTCATGGCTCGTTTTCTGAACATTATCATACGAAGTGGATGAAGCAGAAGTTGAGTTGGCCAACAATGGAGTTTTGTAAGGAATTGATCGACGACATGGTTTAGGGTTTGTGAAAATCGAATTGGGCGAATTACTACCGCTGCAAAAGGCTCCAATTGGACAGAAGGCTGCCATTCCAGTAATGTTCAAATCCTGATTTTGGTGGAATTTGAGTTCGTTGTGTTGTTGAATCAATGGAGGTCTGAAGATGAAAGCATTTCCATACCACCAAAATACAGAAAGAAGCTTATCCACACTCAAATCCATCGATGGATGGATATTTCAGGTGTTATTTCAATTTTAAGGTTTTTTTTATTTTATTTTCTTTCCCAAAAATTCTGTAAAATATAACCATCAGAAAATTAATTAATTACAAATTTCGGTTTAGTCCCTAAATCAAAATAATTATAAAAAAACGTCCCTGTAGTTTACATTTTCACACACTTTTGGTCCCTAAACCCTAACATCTTTAAAAAATTTGTTAAGTAGATAAACTAGGAGGGGGTAGTTTAGGGGTTGTTTGTTTACCTCTTAATAGTTCCATTAAGTGGCAACATCTAAATCGTTAAAAGGTGAATCTTGTTTGGCAAAATAAAAGTTTGCCTCTTACTGGTTCTAAAACTCTTTAAATGATTTTGTATCTTGGATCTCCCTTAACCATTAAAAGCCCTATTTTCATTATACACAATTACCAAACAATTATATTTCATTTTGCACTATATTATGAGAGCCTCTTAATCGTTCTGCACCAAACCATTCAGCAATTGCCAAACAGCCCCTTAGTCATTTACCACTTTTAAATTTTCTTTATTTAAAAATCACAAGAACCAAGAATGTAACACACCATCACCCACCACCCCTACGGACCGCTGGTCTCCCTTCCCGAACCCTGCTCCAACGTCGGTCGTCGTCGGTCACCCTTCCCTCTTGTTCTTCCTCAATAACCCATTTTCATCCCATTTATGCGTGTTAAGATTCATTTAAAACCTCCAGAATCGATCTAAAACATCAAATATTATCAAAACCCCAATAAAAACACGAAACAATCTTCTTTTTAAATCAAGAATATCTAAAATTTATGAAGAGGGGTTTCTTCAGCGTCTCTCCCGTGTTCTTGTAACCCCCACCGCTTTCAAACCCATCGTAACCCCTGTTGTCTCCGTGAAAGAGAGAAGTCGTTAAACCGCTGTGGATGGAGAAGTTGAGGATACGACATCAACATTTTTTTTCCTGAAAAGTATAGATAATATCAAATTTAGGACCAAAACCCATAGTTGGTGAACCAGATCCAGAAAAACTCCATCGAAATCGAAACCAACAACCATGGTGATTGGTGGTGGCGAGGGGAGCAGGCGGTGGTCGACGGGAGGCCAAGGTTAAACATCTTTAAAAAATTGCATCTCTTACAGATTATCAAAAGTTTTCTAAAATGGATAACCGAAGTTAAACATCTTTTAAAAATATTTCATATATTTAATTAAATATTATTTCTTGCTTATAAATATTTCATTTCTAGGTTACCTTATTACCTATTAGTGGAATATAATTATATATATATATATATATATATTTTTTTTTCTCTCATGATAATCATTTTCACAAACATCTCTCAATATGGAGAAGTTTTCATTTTTCTCTCATATTTTCTTCATTTTGAAAAAAGTTTTGGAAAATCTGTTAGAGCAACAAATTGTCCAAAAAGAGTATCTCAAACAGATTCTCCTAAATTTCTTAAAATACCAAAGGGTCTATGGCCTAGCAGTATGTGAGTATTTGGTCTCGTAAGTGATCAGGGTTTAATAAGTTATTTATATATTTTTTATAAACAAATTTTTATTATACATCAAAAAATATGGCGTAACATAAAATAATTTTTTATTAAAAAATTATACCTTACAATTTTTTATATTATTCATTTTTACATCAACACAAAAATATTGATGTGACATTGACAATTACCATAAACCAATTTCTTATTAAAAAACTATACTCGCAAAATCACCATAACTTCTAATCAAAAAATCACACGTGTCATTTAAGAATGGGCATATCAATTACCATATAACGCTATAGTACGATTTTTTTTTATTAAGTCTTGTACATATTCTGTTTCTCCTTACATTAAAAATAATACATTTTTCCATATATAGATTTTGAAAAAAGTTATAACACATAATGGAAACAATATACATATATATATATATATATATATATATCATTTCAATGTAATTTATCCTTAAAGAGTCCATTTAGTATGCAGATGTGACTTGACAGGTTAGGACTGGACTAGACGAGAAAGAGGGAGATAGGCGAGTGAATGAATTGTGGAAGGTTCTAGGGTTTTAATTTGACATGAATAACTTGGTAATATATCAATATTTCCCCATAATCCTGATTATTGTCCCACTCGGTCCTGTCCTATATCGGTCTAATGTTGCACCAACACACAGTAAAAAAAAATCAAATTGCTCATGATAACATTTTTCCCCAATTTCCACTTTAGACAATTTTCTTTACATTTTTATAAAATAAATAGCTTGTTTTTCCATTTCTCAGATTGATATCTTCATTAATTGGTTGCCAAAATTAGGAAAAATTCAGACGCATTCAAAAAAGAAGTGAAGTGCCTAAAACAAGAATTGAGGAAAAATATGCAGTTGTTTTACAATAAGTTTTTCTTTTTAATAAATATGGTTTTTGATTCTTAGGTTTTTTTTTTTTTATTAACCTAGATATCCAAACTCGCTATGCAAGCCGACTAATCCTAGGGAGACCACCTGCTTTGCAGGTGGCCTGGAGTCATCACATTTGAACCTCTGTGGCCACAAGAGGGGTTTTTTTATTCCTCCTTGGATTTGAACTTGAGATCTCCGGATACTTTTGACCTTTGGAGCTCAAACTCAAACCAATCAAGCACCACCCTTGTGGTTGATTTTTCGGGCTATTACAGTTAAAGGAGAAGGCCGCATCAATACCATTAGCTTTCTCTCCAACGTCACGATGGTGGCCCTGTTGTTTAAGAATATTTTCAGATGTATAAGGGGATGTTTGGCAGTTTCTGAAAGGTTTGATGCAAAATAATTAAGTTATCAGAATGATTAAGAAACTCTCATTATATGATGTAAAATAAAATAAAATTGTTTGGTAATTGTTTACAATAAAATTAGGGTGTTGAATGGTTAAGAGAGACACATGATACAAAATCATTCAGAGAGTTTTATTACCATTAAAAGACAATTTTTTTTACCAAACAAGATTCACCTCTTAACGATTCAAATATTGTCTCTTAATAGAACTATTAAGTGGTAAACAAACAACCCCTAAGATCAACATTGGACGAGTATAGTCCATCCCTGGATTGGTAAATATGTATTTTAGTATATATGTGGTTTATATGTAGAATTTGGAATGAAATTGAATTTTACTTTTTATCATAATTTATAAAAAAATATTATAAAATTATAAAAAAATAATTAATTTACCATTTATTAAATTAATTATTACAAAAAGAATGTTTTTTTTTTAACATTATTACAACAACTACGAAATCCCGTGAAATACCAACTACACAATTATGATTTCTAAATCAAATGTTTATGAGATTTCAATAAAATCTCAGGATTCCAATTCCAAAAAATTCCTTTAAACCAAACACGAGATTGAAATGATTATTAATATCAAACCAACACATACACTAATTTTACTAAAAGAAATAAAAATTCAAAATTCAAAATTCAAAATAAAATTTGCAAGGCAAACACCTTTTTTTGATTTTTCATCATCACTTCATAATTTGTATTTTGTTGTTTATACTAGGGGTACTCAAAAACCCAATCAACCTAACCCAAAGCAAAAACTCGAAGCAACCCGATATCTAATTGAGTTGTAGAATTTTCAAACCGTAGGTATTTAGTTGATATTGAGTTACTGTTATTTGAACCCAACTCAATTTGATATCTTTTTCTTGAATTTAATATGATTGTTGAGTTTATTAATATATACATCACATCATCACGTACACTCTTTATACATACATATTTTCAATCTATTCTCCATCTCTATATAACTCATTCGTATATATGTTCAGTAACTGTGAACATATGTATGTAAATTGAGAAAATTAATTGAATGTGATATACGTAAAAAATAATGATAAGTTGTATCAAATGGTTACTGATGAAAAAGAAATTATGAATAGACAAAATAACATATTCAAAGTTAGAAGAATATTTTAATGTACCAAATAATCAACCCGATTAACCCGTACTGTTTGGGTTGGGCTGCACTTTGTTTTGGGTTAGGTTAAGATTTTTCAAATCACAAGCATTAGGTTGGGTTGTTCAAATATCTTCGATCCGATAGTTTATATCGTTTAAAAGGAAAAAAAGATGTAAAGTTACATGTGGATGTAAAGTTAAGGTAGATGTCCGTAAAACCATCACTTTTTCAAAGCAACTAAAGTAAATAATATGGTGATAATGTATCCCTTTAATTAACTAAAGCATGTGACAAATGGGTCAGATGTGAATTTCAGTGAGCTTAAGGACTTCTTCATACGACCCCACCAACAATTTCAGAACCTAACATTTTCGTAACACAATCCATACCATATGTAGATTCTAAAGTAAATTAGGTACCTATAATTAATTTGTGATTAATAAATCTAATATCAATGAAACCTGTTGTAGTACGTACTCTTCATTGATTTTTGATGAAAACAGCCCATGCAACGAGTATCATGATTGAAGAGATGAGAGGATTGATTGCAGTGATCGTATTGCAACCGCTTTTGGCCGGATGCGGAGAAGGTTGAGGAGCAGGAAGGAAATCAACCACATTGACGGCTAATTTCATTCCATTGTAGCAGTAACCTCCACTTGAAAGGAAGTAGTATCGTTTTGGTTCAGTGAGCTCAAACACGTCACGTCCAGCACCTCTCGTGATATTGAAGATGAATCCTTGGTCATTGCAGTTATTGTAGCTGGTTTCATTCACCTCCAACACATTAAACATATGCTTGTCGTATCTGAAATCTGCACAGGTGTTAAGAAGATCAGAAAATTGTGGAGTTGATTTAGAACAAGAGATGAATTACTTAAAAACCATATTCAATATCCAAAACTGTATAAAATGCTACAGATTATATGGAATCTAGAACAAACAAAGAATTGAACGAAATCGACAGGAGATAAGTTGCAAAATGAAGCAGATAAACAATTGAAAAAGGAAACTGCGACTGTTTGCTAGAAAATTACTAAAAATAACTACAAATTTAGAAAATCTATTAGAATTCCCGTAGCATTCGATGAATCAGCATCCAGAAAACAAAATCATTGCACACAGATTTACATCGCCGGATAATCGTTCGAATGTGACGCAAATCAAAACAGATCACAGCGTGTATAAATCAAAGTCAGGGAGAGAAAATGTTTACACAGCCAGTCGCCGGTGTAGAACGTCTCTTGAAGAGACCAATCAGTGTAATTAAAATTCGGTTTCCACAATTCCCTTGATCCGCCAACCGTGTGACGCACCGGTTGTCTACACATCACGCATGTTACAATCGCCGCTGCTACCGCCGCCACCAGCAACACCGTCTTCCGCCACACAGCGCCTCCAGATCTACTCATATCGTCTTCAATCACGACAACTATGCAACGATCTCTCACTCTCTCTCTCTCTATCTAAAACACACACACCCACACAGTTAATAACACAGAATAACACGCAGATGATAATGGCGACGGAGAGTATAAATAGGCCACCGTATCGATAGGAAAACTAATGGCAGGGTGGCTGTACATGTTTCGGGCCATATGAAGGGTAATTCTGGAAAGTTCTAAAAAACCTGGGTGACAGATGGACCACAGGCGCAGGTTAGCAAGAGAGGCGCATAACAGATTTGGAAGTCATGCCATATTTGCACTGCTACCATCATATTTATGGGTTTGACCGTCGTACACTTTAGGCCATGATGCGGAGGTTTTTGTGTGAAACACGAAATTTGTACGTTACGCAATACCTTTTATACATAATAATTAATAAATAGAAATTTTATTTTTTGGTATATGTTTAGATGTATATAAACTAACTTATTAAAATGCAACTTGATATTTTAGTAACTTATTGTCATTTTTTT